CAGGACTAAGTCTCTTCCTTACCCTCAGCATTTTGTTCATCTCCCTGTAACATCCTGAAACCTCTCTCTAGGGAAAAGGAAAGGAACTCGCCCGTGAATACCTGCTAAGCACCAGGCATATTTATCCACATGCAGGGAAGTACTGCTACCCCCAGGTTACAAGAGGAAACTGAGGGTCGAGGAGAAGTGGCTTGCCCAAGGTAACAGGCTGGCAAGTGACAGAGCTGGACTCACTCTCAGAAACCGATGTTGCTTATATCTGTGCTTGCCCCATCCCCGCCCTTGCTACAGTGTGTGTGTGTTTGGCAGGGGGAAGCTTCCACTTCTCTGTGTGATGCACCCCTGCCCAGCCCCTAACACAGAGACCCACACACAGTAGGTGCTCAGGAAATATGTTGAACTGACCTGACTCCAAGTGGCACAGCGAAGGACAGAGGGAGGGACAGGGGCCGAGTCAGGGCTGGGAGACCTGGGGACAGGAGTTGGGGCGGGGTGGTGGGGTGGTGGTGCTTCTGAGATGTTTGCTAAGGAGTGGGCACTCCTCCGGACCTGGATAGACAGCTTCATGCAGCTGCACATCTGGGCACCCCTAGGTTGGGCCTGACAGTTCAGCTCTGACCTGGCCCAAGCGGCGCCTGTCAAGGGCAAGGGCCGCTGGGCAGACAGATGCTCCCCTTTCTTGAAGTCTCTGGGCCCTGAGGACTTCAGTTCAGGGAAACTTGTCCCTATCCTTGGACCTAGCTGCAGAGAAAATGGACCATGTGGGCAGAGGGCTCTGGAAACTGGGCAAGGATGATGTGAACATAGCCAGTGCTACCATTGGTGGGACACCGATGGGGGCGGGGCCCGGGGGTGCCCTTTCAGTGCCTCTGTCCCTAGCACTTGCAAAGGGAAGCATTCAAGTCCCCCATCCAAGGGCATCCAGCCGGGCTCTCCTGTTACAGGTGAGGAAATGGAGCTTTGGCGAGGGAAGGAACTTGGCCAAGGTCACAGCCAGCACCAGAGAGCTGGGAGTTAAGCCTAAGTCTGACCTCAAAACCGTGTTTCCCCAATTCTCCCTCTCTTGTGTTTTTCTCGGCGAGCTCCTCCTCATCTCAGCTTAAATGTCACCCCCTACCCAGCCAGACAGGCCTGCCCTACCCTCACCTGCACCACTTATTCTGTCTTAGTCTTTTGTTCATTCCTCTAGAGCAAGGGTCCCCAACTCCCGGGCTGTGGTTGGGTCCCCAACTCCCAGGCTGCGGACGGGTCCTGGTCCATGGGCTGTTAGGAACCAGTCTGTACAGCAGTAGGTGAGCGGCAAGCGAGTGAGTGAAGCTTCATCTGTGTCTGCAGCCACTCCCCAGCGCCAGCATCACCGCCTCAGCTCCACCTCAGACCATCAGGCATTAGATTCTCATAGGAGCACCGGTCCCTGGTGCCAAAATGTTGGGGACCACTACTCCAGAGCACACTTCACCATTGGTAATTATTATATTGTTGCATTATATGTCGATCTCCCCCACCTTCCTGTAAGTTCCATGAGGACTAAGATTGATTGTGTCTGACTTGCTTCCTGTGACCTCCTTGACTCATGCCTAGCACGTAGTAGGTGCCCAATTAACGTCTGTTGGACCAAAGCCCTCCTACTGTCGGCAGCAGGTGCCATACTCTCCTCCCCAGCAGACTGGACAGCAGCAAATATCCCTTGGATCTTGCCCCCAAACCTGTGTCCTGCCCCTTTCCTGCCACTCAGGGTCTCAGCTGCTACAACCTCTTGCTCAACTGCTTGGGAGAAAGCTGGTCCAAGGCTGGCACGGAGGGAGGAGAGGAGCAGGGCCTCCGAGCTGGCAGACAAAGAGCATGTGTTCTCATCCAGCACACTTCCTGGGTTTCCATTGCAGGAAGCTTGGCACCTGCTCAGGTGACATTGACACCTGGGCTGGTGCAGGAGACCATTGGCCAGGACGCTCCTCTTCACCCGGGAACAGCAGCAGAGTAGGAACAGGTGGCCAGGGGTGCTGGATGGCAGGTAAGTGGTGACAGCTGGCCCCTCACATTCCCCTTTGACCTTCCCCCATCCCCAGCCAGTCTTAGCCCAAAGCAGACGTGAGGATGCCTGGGTCCTAGATGGAGCCCATGTGACCATGGACAAGGCCCCAAACCAACGCTTTGGTGCCTCATCGTCCCACCTGGGGGTGTGGTGTGGTGGCATGATGGATATCATCTAGGTGAGGGAGGGCAGCTGCATTTTTCTGTTTTCTGTTTTAAACAAGCTTCTTTGTCTCAAAGCACTTGAGAAGGGGGTTCTACAGCCAAAACTGTCTGAAAACCCCTGGATCTCACCCTCCTGCTTAAGGTCCTTCGATCTCCTTCCTTGCGGGGGGAGGTGGGAGGGGAGTCTAGCTCGGAGCACTGTGCAACCTGAGAGGCGTTGTTGCCAAACCAGAAATGAGCCCAACCAGGGGGCTCGGGCTGTCTCTCTGGGCCTCAGCTTCTGCATCGCATGGTCCCAGAGCAGGGAACCCAAGGGAATCTTAGTGGTCTGGGTTGGAATCCAGCTCTGTCCTTTACATGGCCTTGAGCCTCTCTGGGCCTCAGTTTCCTCATCTGTGAAGCAGGAATAACCAGCCCTGCCCCACAGAGCGCTCCTGGGATCGAAAGGGAAGGAGACCTGCAGACCCGATATGGACTCACAGCAACCACTATAAATGGCAGCTTCTGCTATCGCTGCTGTGTCATTGCAGAGCGGCTGTTACCGGAACCCCAATGTTTTGTTTTGTTTTGTTTTGTTTTGTTTTGTTTTGGAGTTCGCCTGCCTGTGCGCACTGGCCCAGAGAAATGCACGAACAGGAGTTTACAGAACAGAAAGAAAAAAAAAATAGTTTGATCCTGAATTGGCCAATACAGAGATGGGGACCTTAGGCCCAAAACCCCCACTTCCTCCTGATGGTGTGTAGGTTACAGATTTCATAAAGCAAAATCGTAAGACACCGTGGGTTAGCGGGTATGGGGTCATGCTGGGAGCTGATTGGTAAGGAAGTAAGGTAAGGGTAATAAGTAATTCCTTCAGGTGTTGAGGACAGTTCTGAGGTCTTTTCCTCTGTCCCACTGTCTGGGTCTCATGGGAAAGTAGCCAGGGAGTCATTCCAAGAGCCGAACGTAACTTAGGTCAAGATGTTATCTTTATCCTGCCAGAGGTCTGGATCCTGTGACCAACAGTCAAGCCCAGGCTCCTGTCTTCTGCTGCCTTGCGGGTTGCTGACCATGGGAGAGGCTAGGCCTCTGAGGGGGAAGGAGAGAGAGAAAGAGGGAATGGGGAGAGAAATGTGATTTTTAAAGCTAGGATAGAAAACGAAATTTAATCGAAATCATAGGAACATTCCATTTTAGCTCTGAGGATCAAATGAAAAAAGGATGACAAAAAAGTAGGTGAAGGATTTAGGAAGGAGAGGGTGCTGGAATATGGGACGAGGTTCCAGGCAGCCGCCCCACACACAACCCCGGTGAGCATGAGCCCCCCGAGAGCAGCCCAAGAGCCATCCTGGCCGGGGGGACCGTAGCGTCTGCCCTAGAGAGTCAGACCATGCCTGGCCTCCCCCCAGATGGCGCTGGGTCCAGGCCTCTTCTGGCCTCAGCCACTGTGGCTTTAATCAAAAGAACAATCTGTTTGCCTCTGAATCAGACCCAGATTCTCTTTCCCAGCAATGATCCAGAGGCCTCCAGGGACGCAGGCCGCCCATCCCGGCTCCATCTCCCGCCCCAGGGCCCGGGCTCGACTTTCCCTCCCCCCTCCATTATCTGTCCACTCCAGCTTTGGGGGTTGGGGGTGCAGGAGGCAGGAGTGGGACCCCGACAGTTGACCTGATTGCCATCTAGGCCCTGTCTACCAGGCCTCCTGTAAGTACATGTAGTCCACGACTCTGGGACTCACCTGTAAAGGGTTTAAGGGTTCCAGACAGGTAGTGACAGCTGAGGACAGCAACCCCAGGTGACCTGCTTCACCCCCCAAAAACCCCAAGTCAAGCATATATTAACCATTCTCTGTGTTTTCTTCACTGTCTATATTACCTTCTATCCTCGGGCTGACCCTGAGAGGTAGGCAGTCATACCCCCGTTTCACAAAGAAGGAAGGTGGAGTGGCTGCCCAGGGTCACTAGGTCAGTGAGTGGCCATGGAACCCAAGTCCACCTAACTCTGAGGACCTTGGGAGATTCCCGGCCAAACTGAAGTGTAAGCACCCTCTCCACCTGAGAGGGCAGGTAGGGCCACCAACCCAATTGATCTAGGGGAGGGGGCAGGGTAAGGACCA